CTGTGAAGAGGGATAATGACATTTATAATTGATGTCAGTGACACGTGTGTGTGCGGGGTATAATCACATTACAATGGGGGGGCACCCCCTCAGTCCAGACCACACCCCCAGAGGAGGGACCCTCTTCTATTGCCCCCTCCCCCACCCCCAGTGCATTTCCTTATCCGAATATCCAATAAATCCGAATTTTTCTCAGAGATCCGAAACAAACGTGAAAGTGTCACCAGGGCAACCGGTTCCATATTCCCCAATTCTATATACAAATGTGAACCTTACAGTGATCGGTCTGCTGCAGGCAGGAGGAAGCATTTCCTCAGTCTCCCCTCCCCCCGTGATCAGTCTGCTGCAGGCAGGAGGAGGCATTTCCTCAGTCTCCCCTCCCCCCGTGATCAGTCTGCTGCAGGCAGGAGGAGGCATTTCCTCAGTCTCCCCTCCCCCCGTGATCAGTCTGCTGCAGGCAGGAGGAGGCATTTCCTCAGTCTCCCCTCCCCCCGTGATCAGTCTGCTGCAGGCAGGAGGAGGCATTTCCTCAGTCTCCCCTCCCCCCGTGATCAGTCTGCTGCAGGCAGGAGGAGGCATTTCCTCAGTCTCCCCTCCCCCCGTGATCAGTCTGCTGCAGGCAGGAGGAGGCATTTCCTCAGTCTCCCCTCCCCCCGTGATCAGTCTGCTGCAGGCAGGAGGAGGCATTTCCTCAGTCTCCCCTCCCCCCGTGATCAGTCTGCTGCAGGCAGGAGGAGGCATTTCCTCAGTCTCCCCTCCCCCCGTGATCAGTCTGCTGCAGGCAGGAGGAAGCATTTCCTCAGTCTCCCCTCCCCCTGTGATCGGTCTGATACATAGTAGCTCTGTATCCAGTCACAAGGTGAGAGGCTGCAGCAGGGGCTGATCTGTGTCAGATCCCGGAAAGGGTCACATGACCTCCTCTGTAACGTTTCGATGTGTCGGGTTGATCACAGAAACAAACGGAAAAATTGATGAGAAATATTATTGTGAAACATAATAACAAAAACTTCCAAACAATTATTTACAGACCGCCTCTGATCCCTACTTCAAGGGGGGCAGTTCCAAGGTCTTAGGGGGCGGGTCCAGGATCTTAGGGAGGTGGGTACAAGGTCTTAGGGGGCGGGTCCAGGATCTTAGGGGGGTGGTTCCAAGGTGTTAGGGGCAGGTCCAGGGTCTTACAGGATGTGTCCGGGTAGTGGTGATGGTCTCTAGGTGGGGTTCCCCTCCTGTCACTAAGGGGGCGGGTCCAGGAAGCGGTGATGGTCTCTAGGTGGGGTTCCCCTCCTGTCACTAAGGGGGCGGGTCCAGGAAGCGGTGATGGTCTCTAGGTGGGGTTCCCCTCCTGTCACTAAGGGGGCGGGTCCAGGTAGCGGTGATGGTCTCTGGGTGGGGTTCCCCTCCTGTCACTAAGGGGGCGGGTCCAGGTAGCGGTGATGGTCTCTGGGTGGGGTTCCCCTCCTGTCACTAAGGGGGCGGGTCCAGGTAGCGGTGATGGTCTCTGGGTGGGGTTCCCCTCCTGTCACTAAGGGGGCGGGTCCAGGTAGCGGTGATGGTCTCTGGGTGGGGTTCCCCTCCTGTCACTAAGGGGGCGGGTCCAGGTAGCGGTGATGGCCTCTGGGTGGGGTTCCCCTCCTGTCACTAAGGGGGCGGGTCCAGGTAGCGGTGATGGTCTCTGGGTGGGGTTCCCCTCCTGTCACTAAGGGGGCGGGTCCAGGTAGCGGTGATGGTCTCTGGGTGGGGTTCTCCTCCTGTCACTAAGGGGGCGTGTCCAGTTAGCGGTGATGGTCTCTGGGTGGGGTTCCCCTCCTGTCACTAAGGGGGTGGGTCCAGGAAGCGGTGATGGTCTCTGGGTGGGGTTCCCCTCCTGTCACTAAGGGGGCGGGTCCAGGTAGCGGTGATGGTCTCTGGGTACGGTTCCCCTCCTGTCACTAAGGGGGCGTGTCCAGTTAGCGGTGATGGTCTCTGGGGGGGGTTCCCCTCCTGTCACTAAGGGGGCGGGTCCAGGAAGCGGTGATGGTCTCTGGGGGGGGTTCCCCTCCTGTCACTAAGGGGGCGGGTCCAGGAAGCGGTGATGGTCTCTGGGGGGGGTTCCCCTCCTGTCACTAAGGGGGCGGGTCCAGGAAGCGGTGATGGTCTCTGGGGGGGGTTCCCCTCCTGTCACTAAGGGGGCGGGTCCAGGAAGCGGTGATGGTCTCTGGGTACGGTTCCCCTCCTGCGGCGGAAGAGGCGGGGCTCCGAACCGACAACTTTTTTCAGGGCGTGGAATTTCCAGGATTGGGCGATCTGGATCTCCTAGGAGAATAAACAGAACACAGAATCAGAATGGCCGGGGAACTACATATCCCAGCGTGCCTTGCAGTTTCTGATAGGCTGGAGGCAATGCAGGGCGGGGCCTTACAGGGATCAGCTTGTCCTTGGCATTCTCCCTTTCCAGGGTGGTCAGCTCCTCTGGGGACAGCAGGAAGAGGCGGAGCTCCCGTGTGGCATCCTGCGCTACTTCAGAGACCGGCAAATCCAGGACCGCCTGCAGCAGAAACATGCGAATTACACAGTGCCATCCAATGAGAAAGCCCCACCCACAAATCTAGGACAGCCCCCGAGGAATGTCATTGTAATATATCCCCCCACTTCCAGGTGCCATTGTAATATACCCCCCCCCACTTCCAGGTGTCATTGTAATATACCCCCCACTTCCAGGTGTCATTGTAATATA